GGGGTGGGGGGCGCAGAGGCCGGCATGCTTTGGCTGGGGCGGAGGGTGTGGGCGTGCGGCCGGCCTGACGGCCAGTGCGTAGTCAGACGCGCTCTCGCCCCATTTTCGTGAGTGGTTGCAAGAACTAAGCAACAGCAGCAGCAGCAGGAGCGAACTCAAAATGCCCCCGCCGCACCCTGCCTCGCAGCGCGGGAGCGAGCGGACGCTGTTTGGCCCCGGCGCCGGCGTCAAGTCCTTCCAGGCCCTCACGGCACTGGCGGCAGCCCCGCGCCCCCGTGCAGCAAAGCGCGGCGGCGGCGGCGCGACGGCGGGCGCGGCCGCGGCAGTGGTGGCAACGGCCGGGCGGGAGGAGGGGGACGCGGCGCATGTGCGCGTGGCTGAGCTGGCTGCGGCGCCCTTCACGCTGCAGGTGCGGGTGGGCCCCCAAACACAGCCGCCGGCCTGGGTGCAGCTTCTCCTGCTGCGCCCTGCTGCATACCCCTCGCAACCCACAAGCTGCTTCCCCACCCCCTTCCCTCTCCTGCACACCGCTGGATGAACCCCGGCGCAATCCCATCACCGTAGATAGCTTCACACTTGGGCGCCGCCGTCGCCATCCCCGCTTACCTGCCATATTCTCGACACCTCACCATTGCCGCAGCCAATATGCCCTGCATCATCCTTATGCATACACCTACCCTGCACCCTTCTACCGCAACTGCAATTGCAACTGCCTCCGCAACCGCCACCGTATTTGCCTGCTGCAACCGCCGCGTCCGCCGTAACCGCCGCCGCCGCAGGAGCTGGTGCAGCCGGAGCACCTCGCAGCCGCCCTGGCCTTCCTCCTGGAGAACAACTTGGCCATTGCATACCTGCAGGTGCGGTTCCGATGCATTAGAACAGAATTGTGATAACGAAACAGGTTGTAGCAAATACGTGATGTCATCGTCGATGCGCCTAGGCTGCCAGGAGTGAAGACCGGAGACCGGCCGCGAAAGCGCCCATGCGCACACGCAGCGGCCCGACTGACCATGGGTGAAACAAGGACGTGACGCGTGCTCGCCGCTCCACGGGCCCGCGGAAGTGCGCGCTTTGATTTGCCCCTGTGCCCTGCTAACCTGTCAGCGACCTCCCTTCCCCTTCGCCCGCCTGCGGCTGGCACTCGCAGCATAAGGAGGCCGAGGCGGCGGCGGCGATGGCGGACCTGATGGCCTCGCCCTCGTGGGGGGTGCCCGCCGCCAAGCACCAGGGCTTGAGGCCGCCGGAGGCCGCGGCGGCACACGGCACCGCAGCACGCCAGCAGGCCGCGGCGGCGGCGCCCACGACGGCAGCAGCGGCGGCGATCGCCAAAAAGAAGAAGAGGGGGGTCGAGGCGCCGGGTGCCAGCAAGCAGCAGCAGGCGCACGCGGCGCAGCACGCCCCAGAGGCTGCCTCGGAGGGCGCAGGCAGCGGCAGTGACGCGTCCGCCAGCGCCGCTGGCCTCGCCAGCTCCAGCGACGCCGAAGGCAGCGGCGAGGCGAGGGGCGCCCGCGGCGGCGGCGGCTGCGGGGCGCATCTGGGATCGGTCGCTGCTGGGAGCGGGAAGGGCGTCCCGCTGGCGATCACGCAGCGGCCTGTTGGCTATGATATCAGCGAAGGCACCCTGAACCAGTCATCGGTCGCGGCCCCGGAGCAGCTGCTCGCCAACGCTGCTGAGAAGCTGCAGCAGCTGCAGCAGCAACAGGAGGAGCACAAGCGGCGACAGCAGCAGCAGCAGCAGCAGCATGCGGCGGCCGGAGTGGGTCCCGCTGGCGGCCAGCAGCAAGCTGTGCAGCGGGTGGTGCAGCAGCCGCAGCAGCAGCAGCAGCAGCAACAGCAACCACGGCGCACTCTGATTGCTGTCCCAGTGTCTGCGCGCCCCGCCGCGTCAGCAGCCCGGGGCAGTGGCAGCGCCGCGGCCAGGCGCGACGGCCTGCGCACACCTGTAAGCGGCAGCAGCGCTGGCAGCAGCCCCCGCTGTTTCTCGGCGGCGGAGGGCGCACTTGAGCACAAGGCAGCGCGGGGCACCAGCTCGCTCGTTCCGCGCTCGGCGGCGGCAGCGGCGCCGCAGCAGCAGGCGGCCCAGTACGTGGCGGTACCCAGGCGCGAGGTTGTTTCAACCAACCCGCTAGTGCTGGCCGTGCCGCGGCCAGTACCGCTGTACCGGCAGCAGCAGCAGCAGCAGCAGCAGCAGCAGCAGCAGCAGCAGCAAGCAGCGGCTGCTGCGGCGGAGGCTGCAAGCCGCAAGCAGCAGCCTGCAGCTAGGGTCGTGGCTGCCGCCGAGCCTGCTGAGCGCAAGCCGCCACTCATGTCCTCTCAGCAGCAGCAGCGGCAGCACCAGCACCAGCCGCCAAGCAAGGTTGCTGGCCCCGGTGCACCTATCACTTACACCACACCTGCAGCCTCTGCTGCGCGTCAGCAAAACACTGCGTGCGGCCCACAGGCCTTCACAAGCGCCCCTGCCGGCATGGCTGGGATGGCGCTGAACGTCCCGGCGGCTGCAGCAGCGGATGTCTTGGACCCAAAGCAGCAGCAGCAGCAGCAACAGGAGCAGCAACAGCAACAGCAGCGAGCAGCACTGCCATTGCCACAGCTTATGGAGGCATCGCAGCCGCAGCCCTCACTGCAGGCAGATCGTACCGCCTCTGAGGCTGCAGAGGTAGCCCAGGAGCCTCAGGAGGCGCCGCCACTGCAGCGGCAGCAGCAGCAGCAGCCATATGGAGAATCGCCAACACAGCCGCCAGCAGCGCACAAGCAGCCGCAGGCGCGCGAGCCGGCGCACGAGCAGCCACAGGAGCAGCAGCGCGCGCCGCAGCAGGCGCCGCTGACGGGCGCCCTGGGGGCCCTGCAGCAGCACCTGCAGCGCTTTGCGTATGACATTGCGCTGGCCCAGCACGCGGGCTACGCGCCGCACCCCGCGCTCATCTGGATGCACGGCATGGCGCAGGCGGCGCTTGTGCATGCAGCTGGGCTGGCAGACCCAGAGGTGCAGCACCAGCATGCCGGGGCGGCGCTGATGGCGCTGGACCACAATTACTTGTGCCTGCAGCAGCAGTGCTACGAAGCATACCATCGCCAGCAGCAGCAGCAGCAGCAGCAGCAGCAGCAGCAGGATGATGGTGGCTCGGATGTGGAGGCGGCAGTTGGCACGGCGCCAGAGGGTGAGCAGGCTACGCAGCCGTCTGCGGCGCAACGCCAAGCCGCAGCGCATCAGCAGCAAACGGTCGTGCAGCTGGCGAATCCGACGGCGCCGGCCCAACACGAAGCCTGGGCGCTCGCCGGCGCTCCGCCGCCGCTGCTGCCGCCGGGCCCCTGGCCGCCGCACGCGGGGCCGTTTGCACGGCACGCCACGCCTGGGGCCGCGCAAGCGGCGCCTCCGAGCACCGCGGATCAGACGCTTGTCGCACCGCTGGCGCCAGCCCAGGAGGAGCGGGCCGACCAGCAGCAGCAGCATGGTGGGTTTGTGCTGCACTTTGGCACCTTGCCTGCAGACGACGAGTTTGCGGCAACGGAGGACGAGGTAAGCAGCCTGCCCATCCACGAGGGGTCGTGGCACGAGCCGCGGCAGCTGAAGATGGAGGTCGCCCAGGCGGAGTGCGAAGCAGGCACGACTGGCGCCGTGCTCGCGCCTGCCCCCGAGGGGGCAGCGTTTGCAGCCGACGCTGCTGCTGCCGCCGCGCTGTCGCCAAGCAATTTTCTGGCACAGCTGGCCGCGGCTGTGCGGCACCGGGGCTCCAGCCCCCGGCAGCTGGCCGCCGCGCAGCAGCACCAGACGCAGCAGCGGCAGCGGCGGCGACGTGGGCAGTGCGGCGAGCCGTTCGACGCGGGGGCCGCGGCTGCAGACTTCCGGGAGCGCTGGGCGGGCGTGGCGGGCGGCGGCTGTGGCGGCGACGGCGCCGCCGAGGCTGGCGCAGCGCAGCCCTCGGCCTCGGAGGAGCCTAGGCCAGCGGCCAAGGATGGCGGCGGCGACGGCGTGCGGGGCCAGCAGGATGCGTCGGCAGAAGCGCGCAGCCGCGCCAGTGCGGGTCCGGCGCCGTTGCCGGTTGCGGCAATCACGACTACGCGCGAAAGAAACCCCCAACAGCATCCCGCCCAGAGCGCGGAGCGGCAGCCTCAGGAGTCGCGGCACCCAGGCGTGGCCGGAAGGGCGCTCGCCCCAGTGCACGGCCCGTGGCGCCCGCGCGGGGGCGGCGCGGGGCGCGAGCGGGCTGCAGGCGACGGGGGCTGGCGCAGGCGAGAGTGGTAAGAGTCCATCGCAGCCGCTGGGGGCTGCCGCTGCCGCTGCCGCCGCCGTGCCCTGTGGTGCGGGAGGTGCGCGCCGCCGAGCTTTCGCACACACACCGCAGCCAAGTAAAAAGCACATTTTGATCCGCTCCTCTTCCTGCTTGGCGGGCTCTAGAGAGCCTCAACCGGCCGGTTTTCCTGTCAATTGACGCAGCTGACGTGCGCGCCTGTTGGTTGTGACTTTCGGACATCCAAGATATTCCAACACCCCAGTCCCTCCCACCTGCACGCCGGGGTATGAGTGACGCCTTTGTTTTCTCCCCGCGTTCTGCTTTCAAATGACCCGCGAGCGTTGACACAGCCTTCGATGACTCACCTCCCCTGAATGCCTGCGCGACTTCATAACCACTGACAGCCAACGTGACCTTTGGCGCAGCGCTCATCCTTTGCGGCCCCCTGCTCGAGGCAAAAACCTGCATGAGCATTGGCACACCTCACCCTGCTGCGTGCCCTCAGGAATTTCGTCAGGTGGCGATTGCGCTTTGTGCAATCTTTCCACACACTCCCGACTTACTAGGTTCTGCACTTTGCGTAACAATCAAATATGGAAACAAACAAGGAAGCCTTCTCTCTTAGCAGCATCTGACTATGCTGACCGGACGGCAGGCGCCGCACGAAAGGCCCTGGTGGAGGCCAGCCAAAAAAACGACCCAAGTCTGCCGCCACAACGGGGACCGGCCGCCTCAAATCGTGCTGGCCGCGGCCGCATCGGCCATGGCCTTATCAGGCTTTCTGCAGGCAGACGGCGTCCAGCAGAGACCCGCAGCTGCCGCACTCCTTGGGGCGCATGGTGGTGGTGAACGCGATCTGCACCTTGCCACTGGCAGGGGCCTGCGCGGGGCCGTGGGACACGTATTCAGGTGTGGGTGGCGTGAGCGCGTGTGGGGTGGGACAAGGTGGGAGAGGACGTGGTGACTGTACAAATCGTCAAGCAGCGAGTGGGTAAGACGGCCGTCTCAATGCCAGGGAGGGCACCGCGGGGGCCGCCTGCTGGCGAGCGCGTGGGCCCCGTCGCTCAGTGAATGCAGGACGTCGCCTCAATGTCTTCGGTCCAGCCCACACCTGCAGTCACCTGCATCCCCACCCCCTGCCCCTGCTGCTCCTCCGCCCCTGACTCCAGCCGCACTCGCCTTGAAAGTCGCCTCGTACCGCTGCCACTGCTCCTTCTGCTGCCGCGTGTCCGCCGTCACCAGCTTAGTAAACCCCTGCGCGTCCTGCGGGTAGGGCTTCCCCTTGGCCCCTTCCTCCGCGGGCGCCTTGGTGGTCGCGTCCCTGTAGATCGCGTCGGCTGTCGTTTCGAACTTGATGAACTTCCCCTTGTCCGCGTTGCGCCACGCGTACGTCATCAGCCGGCCGTACTGGAACGACAGCTTGTAGCTGGCCCCAGGCTGCAGGCTGACCGTCTGGCACGCGACGCCGGTCGCATTCGGCAGCAGCTCCAAATTCTGCATGCCCTCGGGCGCGGTGGCCACCGCGCGCCGCTGGATCTCGAGCGCGCGTGGCGGGCCCCAGTCGACGCGGAGGCAGGTCCAGGTCCACCCTGGGACGCTGGTGAACCAGCCCCAGCCCTTGTTGTATGTGTTCCAGGGGGCCTTTGGGTATTTGTCCGGCTGGGAGGGGTCTGGCGTCTCGAATCCGCCGTTCTGGGGCGGTTTGGGGGTGCGCGGGCGGGTAAGGGTATGGGTGGGCCACTTGACGCAACAGGGAGGGACGGAGGGAAAGGGGCACGCGTGCAGTGGCGCTCAGGTGGGTGGCGATGCGCTGCAGGCGGTTGGTCAAGAGCGCGGGCGGGAATTTGCATTTTGGGCGCCTGGTGAGTGCGCCGTGGCTCAGTGTATTGGCCATTTCATGTGTATGCAGCAGTGCCCACGGCTACAGATGCAGCTGCACTGCATGTCCAGGTACCGCAGCGGCGGGGCGGAGGGAGCTGCACAGCGGATGCCGAGGTGCCGGGCCCCCAGCTACGCACCACTATCAGGTTGCCAGGGCACTCCTTCTCGAGGTCGAAACCTACTGCCTGCGCGGAGCCGGCCATGAGGGCTACCACGCCACCGGCAAGCAGCAGGCCCGCGAGGGCCGAATGGTTGAGCATCGTGCCGAGGGGTGATCTCCTGGTGGAAACGATGCAAACGGTATGTAAATGTCTTGATAACCACTCGGACGGCACCGTAACGCCGCGGGGTGCATGTCACCGCTGCGGTGACCAAAAGTGGGCTTTGAGTCCATGACCGCCGCCCGCCACTGGCGCGTTTGTTTGCGATGTTGGGCTTGTGATGCCAAGACGACAGCAGGTGGCTGTGCGGATCACATGGTGCATGATTTGTATACCCTCGCTTCCAACCACACACGCACGCACGCACGCATGCACTAACACTCACACGGATGCACACGCGCGCATGCGCGCATGCACGCACGCGCGCGCGGTGTACTGTGGAAAAGTGCAGTGGCGCAATCACGCACGCTGTCATGCTGTGTAAGAGGGTGCAAATGTTGCCTAAGTTGAAGCCATAGAGTCTGCTCGGAGCCACAAGAAGGGCAGAGGGGTAGGAGTTTTGACAGCAGGTTGCATCCTCGTTGTTGGCAGCTGGACTTGACGCCTGCTGTAAAAGCGTGATGTGACACTTGGGGGGTGTGGGGACACCAACCGACACAGCGGTGTTCAGGCCCTACTTGGCACGCACATGGGTGTTACGTCACAGCCTCCTTCTCAGAAAATCCGCTCTGCGCTTTACAGAGGCTGTGGAGGACTGCTCTGTAACACCACCGATGCTTGACTGGATTTGGTCACAAGCAATTGTCACCAGTCAGGCTCAATACGTATAGGCATACATATGAGCCGTGCAGCCAATTCGCCACAAGCAGTGCTCAGGCGGTTTTGAGGGCTCTCAGGTTGGGCACCCGTGCAGACAAGCTTCAGCAATGTTCAACACCCAATTTTGCAGCTAATAATCAAGCACAAAGCATTGTGCAGATGCAGCTCGCAGCTGCAGGCCTCTCCCTGCCTGCAAATTGCACCCGCCCTGTCTCTGGCCACTTGCGGCAACCACTTGAGAAGTGTGTTCTGTATTGTGCTAGTGCAGCCAGAGTCGCAGTATCTGTAGCACAAAACACTGCTGGCTGGCGGCAATCTTCTTGTCATCCACTGCCTCTGCTCTTCTGTATAACTCCGCTGTCCTTGTGGCTGGCGCAGCCGTACACTACCATGCCCATTCTCAAGCTCCATAACAAAACATCTACAATTCTGAGGGGTGTTGGTTTGAAGTCCATTGTTGACATCCTCAAGCACACCCGCTCGACGCCAGCCTCCCTCGTGCCTGGCATGTGGCACCTGCCGGTCGGCTCGTGGTGCCGGTCATGGGTCATGATGCCCGCTGTGTGCGCACAAGCATCATTGCCGCCTGATCGCCCTCACAGCAAGGCTCACTTTGCAGGAAACAATACACGATTATCTACACACATAACTGTACAATACAGGCAAGGATGGCGTCTGACGGCATCCGGCCTCACTCCGTGGCCGTTTTGGCGTCACAACCCAGGCGAACGCGCTATGCAGTACGAATCATAGTATTATAACCCTCAGCTCTGATCATCGTGCCAGGCGATGGCAACAAACACCTGACATTGCCCAGCGCACTTGCTGCATCGCATGACATCCTCCCCCCTCCGTGCCCTGTGCCAATCCCGCCTCCCTCTTTGGCCTTGCACAGTAAGTGGTACCTCAGCGGCGACGTAGTGCACGAGTATGAGACCGTCAGGGTGAACATTGCTGAGCTGGACGGCGTCAAGTACGCCGTGAAGACGCACCCCAGTGGGCGCTGGCGGACATCAAGGCGCTGCAGCAGGCGGTGAGCGCGCGCGGCGCGTCTGCAGCTGCAGCGGCGGCGGTGGGGACGAGTCCATAGCTCAAGAAAGTCGCCCACACCTGACTGGTGCCGCTCCAAGGCCCCACACACGCAAGGGGCATCCGCTGCACTGCAAGCACCCGCTGCCGTCGGCTCTGGGCACGCGGCGACCGCGCCCCTTCCTTGCCCCGCCCCTCCCTCACGCCGACCTGCTGACAAGCCACGCGCCGCCCCGCCCCCCTGCTGGCGGCCCCCCTCTCCCAGGTGGACACGGAGATCGCCGTTCACGCGCGCATCCAGAGCCCCCACGTACCCGCTCTCGTGTCGGTGGTGCGGGGCGACCTGCACACGCACCTTGTGTTCGAGTACGGCGGCGAACCCATCATGCACTACATCGGCGCGTCCGCGGCCGATCTAGCTGAGAACCTGGAAGCGGCCAAGGAGGCTTGCAGGGTGCTGTTTGGGGTGCTTCGCGCCTGCGAGGACGAGGTGGGTTTGCGGGCTTCTGGGATTCTGGGACGGACCGTGAAACCGACGCTCGGGAGCGTTTGCGGCATGCTCAGCTGCTACATGGGCAAGAGTCGGGGGCTGGGCACGAGCTGCTGCTGCTGCGCAGGCATCAATTGAGGGCGCACCTCACGTTACCTGCCCGGGCCTTGCCTGCCACGAGCTAAAGCACAGTGCTGATGCAATCCGAGGACTAATTTACCGCAAGCGGGATTAGCAAATTGTCATGGGCCCCCAGTGCGAGGCGCACGCACGCTTGCCCCTCACCTCCCTCACATCCACAATCACGCCTCAGCGCCCTCGCGGCCCCACCTACGCATTCATCTACCCAAGCCCCAAACGAGCTGACCGGCAAACCCCCAAACCCCGCTTTCCATCCCTCCCTTGCAACACCCCCGACCCCCAGGGCCTGTGCTACACCGACCTCAAGGTGCAGCAGCTGCTGGTCAACGCCGAGCTGCAGCCGCCCCTGGTCAACGTCGTCGACATGGCCAGCGCCTCCCCCTATGGCAGCCTCACGGGCTTCAGCTGGGAGACGGTGCCGCCAGAGGGCCTCGCCGCCGGGGTGCGGCCCGACGGCACCATCGACTTCGACGCGCTGGCAGCCACGACGGGCCCCGGCTTCCACGCGTTCTCGTTTGCGGCCACCCTGGCCACGATGGCACTGGGGTGCGACCCCCATCTTCCGACGGTGGAGGAGATAGAGGAGGAGGAGGCGGCGGCGGCGGCCGACAGCGGCGGCGGCGGCGGCAGCGGCGCCGGCGGCGGCGGCTGCGTTGGCGGAGGTGGCGGCTGATCTGACAGTGGCGACATCGCGCCGCGCGGCGACGCGTTGACCGCTCGCGAGCGCCTGATCGTCGCCAAGAGGCGCGCCGGCATGGCGGCGTACGAGGACCACCCGCTGTGGCCGTTGCTGCCTGCGGCGGCGCAGGACTTTCTCCGCATGGGGCCGCAGCCCGACCCGCGGCGCCGCGCCACCCTGGACCAACTCAGGGACAGCGCCTGGGGGCGCGAGATGCTTGGCGGCGCCGCGGCGCCGCGG